TTGATAAAAACATTTATAATGTTACAAAAGATTTGTATTTCAAATAAATGCTGTTCTATTCATCAAAGAAAAAATGTATGAAAAAAAATCATCACAAAAATATTAAGCAGCATTACTGTTTTCAACATTGATAATAAAACTAAATGTTTTTTGAGCACCAAATCAGACATTCTGAATGGTCTTGTAACACTGAAGACTGGAGTAATGACTGCTGAAAATTCAGCTTTGCCATCACACACACACAAAGCCATTTTAAAATATTTCAAAATAGAAAAGTTATTTTAAAATGTAATAATATTTCACAATATTACTGTTTTTAATGTATTTTTTCATCAAATAAATGCAGCCTTGGTGAGCATAACTAGCAGTGTCCCTACCACTTTTTAAATACAAAGTGATGCCCATGATTCTATGCCCACTGTTGGTTTGCAACAATTGCATGTTTAAAGCAAAAACAGAGCATAATATTTGGGGGTTCTTTTGGACCTCTGAACCTTCTTGAAAATATTTACATCATTACTAGCTAGTATTTACAGCGGCTGACTCCTCCAGCAGTTGAAGGAAGGCGTGTGTTAATTTAAGCATTAAAGATGAGTCCTCTGAGAGTGCATGTTGTGTAACCGCACTTTCAAATATGCAGAGCAAGAATAAATGAAGGGGACACGGGTCGGGCACACATTACAGCGAACATGGAGGGCATGTCAATGATGGTGGTGGATGGCAACCATCCAGAGGATGGAGAATTTTGAAATCCCCCATTACACACTCTCCTCCACCCCCGAAGTGCGATCTGCTAACTCAAACCACATGCATATGGCCAAACCCACATTTTTCACTACACACGCACAGTGTGTGTGTGTTTGTTGGAGGGTGGGGGCCTGTAAGGGAATGGGTGTGTTGTGGAAAAGAACCCAGGGAATATTAGCTCAGAGTTAAAAGTTCAGGCTATTCAGAACCAAACCTGCACCAAGCACACATAGTCCGGTCCGTCCATTCTGATGCTATAATAGCTATTGGACGACGCGTTGGTCTATATTTGGTGTTTTTTTTTTTTGAAGGGTCACAGGGTTTGCTGTAACACCCTGTATCTTCCAAAAAAGCAGTATGTCATCGCCCTGTGCTTTGATCCAGATGATCTTTATGAGGCTCTGACAGGAGCTCAAGCCCAAAGAAATATAGAGCACACTCTCATCTACTCCACAAACAGAGAGAAAGACAGAGGAAATCTGCCTGGAAACTTCCAATGTAGAGAGAGAGAACTGTTTTCTGTCAAACAAGGGGTCTGGTTGCTTTTAACTAGGTCGTTTCCACCTGCCATTCAGGATTTGCCACCACAGCAGAGGCTGTTGAACTTCAAATGCCATGGTGAATAAAACCCTGAACACTGTTTCTTAAGGGGAGGGACATTGAATTGGAATGACTAAGAGTTTATGTAAGACGTTGTGGTTAAATATTTGTAAAATGACAAAAACATACATCATCTTTGTAAGGAAATACAGTAGTGAAGTCACTGCTTACTTTTCCCCCCAAGAGTCAAGTCAAGTCACCTTTATTTATATAGCGCTTTTAACTGTGGTCCCAAAAGATACTTTTTCCTAGTCTCTCTAAAGCCAAAATCAGTAGGCTGGATGTTTGCCTTTTAGTTGATAACCCATTTTTTAAACTGAAAATGACAGCCGGATCTGTGTAACACCCCACTCCCAACTTGAGGGTGTTTTTAGTATGTACCCAAAGTAGGGTGACTGACAAAACATGTCTTTCTCTATAGATGAACTGTTTCTAGCAATGCCAGGGTCATGGGTTTGATTTTCAGTGACGCATGGACTGATATTTTTTTAAGAGAGAAATTAATACTTTTATTCCACAAGGATGCATTCAATTGATTGAAAGTGACAGTGTAAAGCCATGTTTTATAATGTTACAAAATATTTCTGTTTCAGATAAATACTGTTGAATAGAAAAATTTAAAGGGATAGTTCACCCAAAAATGAAAATTAGCCCATGATTTACTCACCCTCAGGGCATCCAAGGCGTATCTGACATTGCTCTTTCAGACGAATCCAATCGAAGTTATATAAAAAATTGTCCTGGCTCTTCCAAGCTGTATAATGGCAGTGAATGGTGCCCCTGTTTTTGAAGCTGAAAAAAAGTGCATCCATCCATCATAAAACTACTCCACACAGCTCTGGGGTGTTAATAAAGGCCTTCTGAAGCGAAATGATGCATTAGTGTAAGAAAGGTATCGATTTTTAAACGTTTGTGCCAAAGCCGCTGCAGCCTCCTTCTCGCGGAGTTCCTGGTCGGTATACTCTGGTTCAAACAAATATGGCTGGGCAAAAAACTCATTCTTTTCTTGCCTTATATCGAAATCCTCTGACATTTTTGCATTCTCCTCTGTGCTTCCGTGTTTGTCACTCTCTCCCCGGTGCTTACGTTGCGCCTTCCGCTACGCCTGTGTCATACTCTTGAGTAAATCATGGGCTAATTTTCATTTTTGGGTGAACTATCTCTTTAAGCATCCTAACTTTTTTCAACATTAATAATAATAAGAAATGTTTCTTGAGCACCAAATCAGCATATTAGAAAGATTTCTGTGATCATGTGACACTGGAGACTGGAGAAATGGCAGCTGAAAATGTTTAAAATTGAAATAATATTTCACAATATTACTGTTTTTACTGTATTTTGATCAAATAAATGCAGTCTTGGTGAGCATAAGAGACTTTTTTCAAAAACTTTGTTGTACATAAAATAGCATTATCTGAGGCAGTTATCATGGGTTTTCTTTTATGGTTACATATTGCTAAGCATCTCCCATTTTACTTGTCATATTAAACTAAACCATATGTGAAAGCTCAGGGCATCAAAATGTAATTTTATGAAGTTTTTTTGCAAACTTGTTTTTATGTCTATAAAAGCTGGGGCTGCACACTTTAAGACAAGGTATTTGAAGTATGCCTGGTTTGAGGTTTACAGGAAAACACGTTTCTGTGGCATGAAAGCTCTTGAATTCCTGCATAGCAGCTTTGTTATTTTCAAAAATGAAACAGCAGAGGCCATTAACTTCTATAAATACTCAATTTAAATGTCATTTTGTTGTTTGCTTTGCTTTGCAGATGAGACACGGTCAGCGCCACAGTTAAATGGACCTGCGGTGACCCCAGGGCCCGTGGCCATTTCTGCTCCCCCTACCCCAGAATCCCCCGGTCCTTCTGCCTGTCCTCTTCTGCCCACCCCCACTACCCCTCAAGCACCTCCGGCCACCTCCTCATCTCCTGGCTGTGGCTCTTCTAACCCAGAGCAGACTGGCACGGGGGCCCCTGGGGCACCATCAGTCACTCCCAGCAACCCTGATACTGAAGAGGACAAAGCCAAGAAGCTGCTTTACTGCTCACTGTGCAAAGTGGCCGTCAATTCACTCTCCCAGTTGGAGGCCCACAATAAAGGTGAACATTCATTTAGCGACAGCTCGTCTAAACTCAATAACTTACTGTGCTGACTGATTACACAAAACATCCGTCACTGGAATAAAGAGTCTCCAATTAGTGCTTAGAGGTGGATAGATTATACATAATAACAAATGCTCCCTGTGTATTTTCTTGTGTGAGGGACTCACTAGTCTGTACCTGTGACTTTGTACTGCTATTATTTAAAAACTCTTAAAAGCCATTTTAAGACTCCACAACACAACATCATATGTAGCAATAATATGCTGATGCAATCACTTTTCATTACAGAAAAAGCAAATGCAAACATTTGCCAATGGCAGGTGCATTTAGGAAATTAACTATTAACTAATAGTTAATTAACTATAAATATTTTTTGTAAGCTATGATGACACTGTTATCAATTATAAAAATAAATAAAAAATCATAACATTTATCCTAACACACACACACACACACATATACATCAGCTGATTTTAGAAATATTAAATTCTTAATATAGAAGTAGTAGATTTTAGTATTAGATCTTTTTTAATACAATACACATCCTAGATACCTTGCACAAGTTGTGATTTACTTTATTTTTATTTTATTTTAGTCAAACTATTATTCAGTTGGAATAAAACCATGTTGCTCAGGGCCGCTGCTGGCCAAATGGGTGCCCTAAGCAAAATTGTATTGTTGTGCCCCCTACCCCAAATATTATGGAAGTTAAAAAAATAAAAACACCTACTATAGGGGTCAAAATAGAACTTTAATAAAATATAAAAGTAAATAAATAAATCAATTGTAATTAAACTGTATTATTTACAAAGTACAATTGTAGTTCTATGGCAAAAACAAATACAAACTAAAATTACACATATTAAATAAAACATTTTAAAAGATTAAATTTGATCAAAATAAATAATAATAAATTAAATCAAAACAGCTTCATTCTCATTTGTAACAAATTTCAGTACTATGCACTTCTAAATAAACAGTTTTTAGTTAAAAAACATAAGTAAATTAAGAGCACTCAGTGTAATAAAACAGTTTAAAAAAACAGTTACCTCATGGCTATGATTTTATTAATACAGTTTTCTGATTGATTTTATAGTCTCAAGCATTCAGAAATCACACAAAAGAAAATTAAGCAGTTTTACTACAATAAAACCATGTTAATTTCCGTAAGGGTTGTGATGTCCATATGTTTTTGTTGAAGAAATCATAGAGGCTGTAGCAATTCTATCGCAAAAAGGTGGCCAAAAATGAAAGATTAAGTGGATATTTGAATTAAATGTTTGGTCAATAATAAACAAGGATTTGATCGTCCTGTAAGTGTAACAACAGCAACTGCCAGGCCTTTGGCACCCTTTGCAGGCATTTATTTTGTATTACATTATGTATTTTAACAGTGTTATTTAAGGAAACCATATGATTATTATTAATTAACCAAACATTATTGCCCCATTGTTTTTATATAACGCATTTTAAGTCATGTTAAAGGCTGTTGTTCACTTAGGTCTGCTTTATTACCGCACAAAATATTAGGCTATCTGAGTACTTCTTTGTTAATTATTATTTTTAAGGGGTCATATGATGCTGCTAAAAAGTGTATTTGGTGTAATGAAATGTATTTATGCGGTTTAAGCTTAAAAAAACACATTATTTTCCACATACTGTACATTATTGTTTCTCCTCTATGCCCCGCCTTTCTGAAACGCGTTGATTTTTATAAAGCTCATCGTTCTGAAAAAGCGAGGTGTGCTGTGATTGGCCAGCTATCCAGTGCATTGTGATTGGCCGAATACCTCAAGCGTGAGACGGAAATGTTACGCCCCTCACCATATTGTAATGATGCCGTCAGGCCGGAGCAAAGATTCAAAAATATGAAAACTCATTATAAACGAGGCATTCGTTGCATCCAGTGGGGACAAACCATGGTTAATTTGTGGTTACCATGGCTACAATAACCTTTTTTTTTCCGTTGTAAAACCACGGTTAATTTTCATAAGGGAACATGGAAACTCAGAGAGAATATTAAGGCAGATGCGTCGGTGTTGGTGAAATTATTACCGACATAAAAACACATTATTAACGTCAACCGACAAAAAAAAAGTTTCAGAGGATTATGAACGTACATGAAAATGATACACGGGCTTCATCTTGGGCTTTTTAACTTTTTTTTTCTTTTTTGAGCAACTGGGATGGTGGCCTTTAAACTTCTGAAACAGGCATCTTTAGAAGCTTTCACTCTCACTCTCAGCTTTACAGTAGCACTTGCCCTCTCGGTTTGCACAAAAACGAACAGTTTATCAGTTTTTGTACTGCAGTGCAGCTAGTAGTATTTCGGGGAGTGTTTGATTTCTCATGGTATATATATCGAATGCCTGAGCATATCTCGTTCTGCTCTATTATTTAGTTTGTGTCAACACAAACAATCCTGTTTGAAGAGATGAAGGTGGATGCTGAGGAGATTCTTCTGCAAAGGCACACACAACTCTATTTATTATAGATCTCCTCTTTTATTTATCAGGGAAAACTGCAGTCATAGTTTCAGTGTTTATTCGGTCTGATTAGGAATTTCTCGTGTTGAGCTTGTTGATTAAATGGGCTGTTTTTCCCCAGGCCAAAAGAAATTAATGCTTGAAGTATTTGACAACTGTTTATGTGGTCTGAAAATGAAAAGGCGCACATTCACACTTTGATACATGGAAGACACATTGAAGTCGTTCCTCTTGGAACACACCCATTTTTTAAAGTAAACATTACAAGTTATGAGTGATATCAGGGCATCGTTGCCAATGGAGGGGCAAATTTTAATCACAGTCTGGGTTTAAGAAAGCTATCTGGAATCAGTACAGTCCTTTCCCTAAATGAATTATCTAAACCACAGTCAAAAAAATCTAATCATATGTTGTGCAGACAACCACAGATATAAGTTGGAGGGGAAGGGAGAGATTTAGCTTACTTTATTTCTGCAGTTGTATGTCCAGACACAGCTGTCAATTCCTGTTTATCTGTGTATTTCTCAGATGGCATTTACAAGGACTGTTACACAGTGAAACTAGAAACGCTCATTGTCTGGAACAAATTTTAAGTCTAAATATTGCAAGAGTGCATTTTTGAAGAGTACAAAGGCCATTCATGCTTGTTTTCAAACCCAAACTTAAGGTGAACTTTTGGTCTAATGAGAAAATGAAGGCTGCTTTTGGTTTGGCAAGAGAATGTGTCGACATTCCCGATGTTAAGAACAAAACAAATACATTAGTTCTATGAACCCAAGCATGTGGACGTCACGTGTTTTTTGTCCATATCTTAGCTGTGTTTTCATTGACATTGTGAGGCCAGGAACATGACGGCGAAACATTTAAGGAGAACCATGTGTTGCACAGCTCCAATCACAGGAAACGGATCAATGATGAGCTTTGTTGTAATGAGGATAGCCAAATTTAAATGTAAGTTTTGCAACAAAGTTTTAAAAAATGCTTGAAGTATTTGACAACTGTTTATGTGGTCTGAAAATGAAAAGGCGCACATTCACACTTTGATACATGGAAGACACATTGAAGTCGTTCCTCTTGGAACACACCCATTTTTTAAAGTAAACATTACAAGTTATGAGTGATATCAGGGCATCGTTGCCAATGGAGGGGCAAATTTTAATCACAGTCTGGGTTTAAGAAAGCTATCTGGAATCAGTACAGTCCTTTCCCTAAATGAATTATCTAAACCACAGTCAAAAAAATCTAATCATATGTTGTGCAGACAACCACAGATATAAGTTGGAGGGGAAGGGAGAGATTTAGCTTACTTTATTTCTGCAGTTGTATGTCCAGACACAGCTGTCAATTCCTGTTTATCTGTGTATTTCTCAGATGGCATTTACAAGTGACTGTTACACAGTGAAACTAGAAACGCTCATTGTCTGGAACAAATTTTAAGTCTAACTATTGCAAGAGTGCATTTTTGAAGAGTACAAAGGCCATTCATGCTTGTTTTCAAACCCAAACTTAAGGTGAACTTTTGGTCTAATGAGAAAATGAAGGCTGCTTTTGGTTTGGCAAGAGAATGTGTCGACATTCCCGATGTTAAGAACAAAACAAATACATTAGTTCTATGAACCCAAGCATGTGGACGTCACGTGTTTTTTGTCCATATCTTAGCTGTGTTTTCATTGACATTGTGAGGCCAGGAACATGACGGCGAAACATTTAAGGAGAACCATGTGTTGCACAGCTCCAATCACAGGAAACGGATCAATGATGAGCTTTGTTGTAATGAGGATAGCCAAATTTAAATGTAAGTTTTGCAACAAAGTTTTAAAATTGAAAGCCAGGCAGTATATACTACTTGATTTATGAATAGTACTGTACAGTAATGTAACCTGAATGAAATTCAAAAAGGATATGATTCACAAGTGCAAAGCATTCCAACAAAAGAATGGTATGACTGCCTATTAGACACTGGACAGAAAAAAGAATTATCCCTGGCATGAGCAGCTGCATTCGAGGGTAATTCAAAGTGGAAGATTCAAGAGCCCTCTAGTGGTCATGACCGGATATTACAATACTGCCTGTAGTTTATATTAAAGTAAATGTTATCTATTTATTTTTATCATAATACAATATTCTTATTTTTTTATTATTATTGTTGTTACTATTATTATTATTATTATTACTTATTTATTGTGTTAAATATTTTTTATTTCATTTGGGGTTATTAGATTTTTTTAAAGAAATTAATTATTTTACTCAGCAAGGGCACATTAAATCATCAAAAAATACATTTATAATAATAAAATAAAAAAGATTTCTGTATAAAAAAAATGCTGTTTATCAAAATGCTGAACCTTCTGTTTATCAAAGAAACTTGAAAAAAGTATAAAAATGTACACAAAATATATATAATGTTTTTAACATTGATGATAAATGTTTCTTGAGCACCAAATCTGCATATTAGAATGATTTTTTTGAAAGATTTTGTGACACTGACAATGTATTCAGAAAGAAAATAATTATTTTAAATTGCAATAATATTTCAAAATGTTACTGTATTTTTGAGTTAAAGATGTAGCTTTGGTAAGTACAAGAGACTTAAAAAAAAAGTTTTAAAAATCTTACTGACCTTAAACTTTTGAACCGTAGTTTATATGCATGTATGTATGTGCATACATACAATATATTTTATTTAAAATAACAACATTTTTAAAACCACACATGTATTTCTCTGCACTCCTCAGGCACTAAACACAAAACCATTCTGGAAGCCCGCAGCGGACTAGGCCCTATTAAGGCATACCCTCGTTTGGGTCTGATGCCCAGCGGGGAGCAGGGAGGCGGGGCCACAGACCCCAATACTCAGGAACGCACCTTCCACTGTGAGATCTGCAATGTGCGGGTCAACTCAGAACTGCAGCTTAAACAGGTGAGCGAGGGTCATGGTGTTCATCATTTCTTTCTTTTAAATGCTCGTCATGTTGTTTTTTGTTACTGAGCGACAAATACTAAATCAAATTTGTTTCAAAATTGGTATGTTTGATATGTTTGCAGCACATATCAAGTCGAAGGCATCGGGACGGTGTGGCAGGAAAGCCAAACCCCCTCCTGAGCCGACACAAGAAGCTCAGGGGAGCTGACCTTGCGGTAAGTGGTAAACAATTACGGTATTAGTTACAATTGAAATGTTGTTGCATACACTGAAAGTTATCTTTGATAATCGGCTGTCAGATTACAGTATGATATTGTTGGGGCATAAAGTTTTTCTCTTCATACAGGATCTCACCAAAGCGTTAGGCGCCGGCCTCTTGCCGAGTCCTCTGGCCGTTGCTGCAGCAATGGCAGCAGCCGTCTCCTCCAATCCGCTGGCTCTCCGGGCAGCAGCCCCCACCCACCATCCACATCATCACCTCCTGCAAGGTCCGCCCCTCAGCCACGCCATCTTGAGACCAGCTCCGGGGCCCATACGCACCTCACATGGGTCTATTCTGTTCTCACCGTACTGACTCCGCCCT